TCTGGTAAATATTAAGGATACGCAGTAAAGGTAGCGGACTTCCATCTCTTATTACTTCGCCCCATAGAAATAAGCGAGAGGAAACTTATAAACTACCTACAGAATGCACCGGATCTGCAACTACTAACCAGCTTGCGGCGCAGCTACAGGCCTTAGAAGTAGGACTATTGCAAGAAGTAGATTTCTCGTTCAGGCATAACTTGAATGCTCTATGTACGACCATGAAATTAATCACACGTCAAGTGCCATCTGCACTAATTAGCAATCCAACTTTGGCGGCACGGCGCTTTTTAAATCGGACGTATATCCATGCTCGTGTAGCAACGTCTATTCTGGCCTTGTCTACCTCTATCCTTTTCAGATATATCATTTCAATCAACTAATGATTCTACTATCTGTTATAAAAATCCTCCTGTACAATTCCAAGTATTTGGACAAAGGTACTCGGGATATATCGATCCCACTACTCTAATAATTTTAGAACTAGCATAACTCATGCCATGTCCACTTGTAAATAATCTTCCAATAGAACTTAATAATCAGCTCTGTACGGTAAACCATATTGCAGGAAGTCTTACACAAATCTCTGCTCACGAAATACGTACCTTGCAGAACACAGCAGGGATTGAGCACATTCTACCCACAATGACACCCACTGTCTTTCGTAACTTAATCCTAACTAATCCAAGTGAATCATTTCCATCTCACCACATAGAAATGGCACTCAAATCATTGCGTATTGAAGAAGAAATCACAGACAGTGGGTGCACCAGAGGATATAACCTTGCTGGTGCAGATCACAGTGCCAGTGGATTAATCTACTATGCTTTATGTCTTATTCATCCATATGGCGTCTATGGGTAGCCGTTGTTTGCTTAATTATCAGTTTTCGTTTACTTGGACCCATAGGAATTCGCATTCTTTTTCCTCGTACGTATGCACTTTTTAGATATATTCAAAAGCGATATCGTCCTCGTATAAATCATGAATTGCCAACTATGGAAACACAACTTCTCCCAATTTCGTATGGGGTAATACTAGAGGAAACTTGGCCACCGAAAATAACGCAACCTTCGGAAGTGCTCATGACAGATGAAATACTCATGGCTGGTGATAATCCTAACCAAGCATTGGTAGCAGGCAGCGTAAATGAAGTTTCATTACGATTCTTGATTGATACGTGTTCCGCTATCACTTTTTGCGGGGATAAATGGGTTCCAATTATCAATGCAGCGCTTCAACCCGTAACCCCAAACAAAGTGGTAGGAGTATCAGGACATCATCTCAATATTATTGGTTCAACAACGATAGCGATACGCGTAGCTGGCGTCAGACATCAGACTAGAATATACTTCTCAGACAATGAACACATATCACAATCAGAACATTATGATGTTATGATTGGTTGCGATATACTCGAACACCATCATTTTCACTAGATATGCGCTCTGGTAATTTCATTATGAACGGGGTAAAGCTGAGGCTAGGAAATGAAAAACTAGGTCCAATTAAGTTTGCACCTGTTCATGCTATGTATACTACAATGTTACAACCAAATTCCGAAACCTCTGTTGATCTTTTCCTTGACGACCAGGAGGCTCACATAAATGATGATTATACTCTACTAATAGATAGGATTGACGAAAGGATTAGCAAGCAACACGTACATTTAACACCGAGGATAGTATGAATTAACTCTGGTAAGATGCGTGTACTTTTTACTAATCCTACTAACACACCAGTTACATTAATGAGAAATATGAAAGTGGCGTATGCAAACAAAATGATAAATTATCAAGGATATCATACTGATCCCATGGAGTGCACAATCTATGCTCATTTTCTAGATAGTACGACGGAACCAACAGTAATGTCGTTAGTTGATTTCTCAAAATGTGACCTTTCCACTGATGATTGCAAATGTCTACAAAGCTTAATAAGCCAGTATGATGAAATTTTCAGCAAAAACAAATATGACTTAGGCTCGTGTTCCGCGGTAAGACATGACATAGAAACAACAACAGAAACACCGGTAATCATGAAACCTACCAAAGTTCCATTTAAATTTAGAGAGGAACTCCAAGAACAAATTTCCAACCCACTGAAAGCGGGCGTCATCAAGAAATCAAAAACGAACTGGTTGGCAAACGTTGTCTTTGTTTTGAAAAAGGACGAAAGCTTCCGAATGTGCCTGGACTATCGAAAACTCAATGCCGTAACAGTTCCCGATACATTCCCCTTACCAAGGCTTGAAAGCATTTTAGAACGAATTGGCAATTCTGAATACTACTCTAGTTTAGACTTGTTACAAGGATTCCTTCAAATTAAAGTATCTGAAGAAATGAGCAATGAACTAGGTATTGTTGTTGAGGATAAATGCTACTAATATACTCACTTACCATTTGGACTTAAAAACGCAACTGGTATTTTCTGTCGAACGATGGCGCATGTTCTTGCGGGATTAGATTACGGAGTATATGCGCATGTTGATGACATATTAATTTGTACTAAGTCAAGGGACTTCACTGAGCATTTACGGATATTAGCAGCTGTATTTCAATGATTCCGAGAATTTAACTCAAAACTATTCCCCAAGAAATGCGTATTTGCACGAAAAACAATCAATTTCTTGGGTCATACCATTTGCAAAGGAGGAGGTCATACCATCAGCAAAGTTAGAGGCCATCAAAGATTTCCCCATACCACGAACGGTGCAGCAGGTCAGACGCTTCATCGGTTTAGCGGGATTCTATCGACGCTTTATTCCTCGTTTTGCCAATATCTCAGCCCCTCTGACTGAATTAACTAAGAAAAATTGCATTGCAAATTTATGTGGGACGAAATACGCCAAGTTGTCTTTAATAAACTTAAGATGTTATTGCTGCAGGAACCAATACTCAGACACGCTGATTATGATAAGGATTTTCACATTTTTACGGACTGTTCGGCAGTAGCACAAGCGGCAGAATTCATGCAACGGGATGACGAACCTAAAGATGCATATTACGCCATCTCATATGCAAGCGCATCTTTACGGAAAGCGAAAGACGTTGGCCGGTAATACAAGCAGAGCTTGCAACAATAGTATATGCTTTACGAACTTTCAAACCTTACATCTTTATGTCTAAATGCAAAGTGCATACGGATCACAAACCTCTAGCTTATGTATTGAAGAAGTCAATAGCACATCCCAACCTTGCCCGATGGATCACTGAACTTCAAAATTATAATGCCACCATAGAGTTTATAAAACGAGAACATAGCCGAGTGGCGGACGCTCTCTCACGGGTGGACAAAGATGTTTCCCCCACGCCAAATAATGCAAGTATTGAGGACATTATTGAATTCCCACGGTGTTTTACAACCGCAGTACCAAATCGCCCAAGGTTAATAGGAGTAAACACCATAGCTGACAAATTGGCAATTCGAGATAAAGCAGGAGATATCCAGTTTATCGACATTGTGCGAGAACTATATAACGACCCTGAATTAAAACCAATTATCGACTTTTACAATAATGGGACTATACCGAAATTACAAAACCCAAAAGAAACGGAACGTCTATTGGCTTAGCTGGACAACTATTGTCTCGATGAAAAAGGATGTCTCCGATGGATCCGGCAGCAACATCGCAAAGGAGATGAAAGTACTGGACCTCACGCAAGATACGACTCACCATTGGTCATGCCTCGTAACCTTCGTCCCTTAATATTTGATTACTTTCATATGTCTCCACTGGCAGGAGGGCATCTCAGCTTTCGCAAAGTGTTTCATAAAACAGCACCGTATCATTGGGATATCAAATACGTGGATCTTTATCGTTGGACAAAAGCTTGTCTCACTTGCCAAATGCGTAATAATCCTAAACCTTATCCACACTCCCCTCTTTATCCTGTCACAAGTCTGGCGGTATGGAGCAAAGCAGGACCCGACTTATGTGGACCTTTTAAAACTACTGCCCAAGAAAATAAGTATATCTTCAACATCATCTGTATGTTTAGCAAATATGTCATTAGTATTCCAGTACTAGATGCTAGATCTACAACTATAGCGCATGCTCTACTTACACACTCTGTTCTAATATATGGCACTCCTTTGCAATTAGTCTCAGATAATGCTACAACATTCTCATCCTCCTGTTTCCAAGAATTTTGCAACCTTCTCTATATAAGCAAGTGTTACTGTACTCCATATCACTCAGTTGGGAACGGTGCAGTGGAACGCACGTTCCGGATGTATCAAAATATGATAGCGAAGTACATTTCAGATCAGAACTCTGTTTTTGACGAATTTCTGCCGTTTATGAGCTTTTGTTACTATACATAAGTAAATAAGACGACAGGGGAAAGCTTTTACTTTCTCATCTTCGGGCGGGATCCTCGTTTTGGGGTGGATAATATTATTAAACCCAACTTTAAACCATCTTTGTCTGAAATTGACGTAGACGAATATAAAGCAAATCTCAGACTTGCGTGGACAACCGCCTATGAGCATTCCCAACAAGCCCAAGCACGCATGAAACAACTTCATGATAGACAAGTTAAACGAACTTAGGTTTGTGTAGGTGACAGGGGACTATTGCGACATGAAATAGTAAAACCAGGTGATACTAAGAAATTCGTATTGCCATGGACAGGAGTATTTAAAGTGATCGAAATCAATGAACCAAATGCTATAATTGTTAGTTGCACTGTTCAATCCTTTCAAAGTCCATCTTACCCAAATTAAGAAATTATATCGCCTAGACGGACCGGCATGCACATTACCAGCAATCCCAGAAGAAGAGCAACAGACCTATGGGAGGCTAGCGCAGAAGAGCTACAAAACATACCAGGACACTCACATGAACACCATCAATTTGATATACCACAAGGTAATACCCAAAATCCACAACCCATGACAGATACGTATAATATACGTAACCGGCATACACGCGTTCGCTCAACATAATCGATCTTTGTAATATGTACGAAACAATAATTAATCAATAATATTTCAGAATGGAACAAAGCGATGATGAAGAAACTGATAAGCGCCACACAAGACCATTGGCCGAAAAAGATCAGGAAGCTCATTCTGAGCGAACTATTAAGAGAAATGAAAAGAAAACACCTGCCCAATCTGGGCGAATTTACTCAAATGAATCGACTGCCCACTCTGGGCGAATTCACTTACAACAACCAACTACCGTATCCGCTCAATCTGAACGAATTCGTTTAAATCAAACACCAGCTATTACAGCTCAATCTGAGCGCATTATTTCAACATCAACCACTGCCATTCAACTAACGGCTCAATCTGAGCGACCTATTTCCAAAAAGAGAACTCTGCCGGATGAGACTACGGAAGCGAAATCAGTTAAAGCTTCTGATTACCAGAAACTGGAAAATCTGACTGCTCAATCTGAGCGTATTACTTCAAAATCTGACTTCACCAATGTTCGCTCTGGACGAATTACCTCAATCAACACTACTGAACTGAGCACAAGCTCAACTAAGCCAGAAATCTCTGGCATTCCATCTATCTCATCTATTGTAGCCCACGGGCCTATTATTGGCTGCAACCCTCCAGTGTACTACACTGTGGTGCAAGTATTCAGAGACGTGGCTAACTGCGCCCTATCACCTGGACAATCTCCTGCTCTGAGGGATACAGTACCGGTCCTGATGATCAGCAACCAAGATTCTGAAATAGAATATTAAGGTGATGCCACCGTTGTCAGTGATCGCAACGATATATATATATATATATATCATTGCAATATACACATATATGTGTTGGACACTATATTTGTATATAATTACAGCCAGCTCGTTATCAGTGGCAAACTTCTACCGGAGCAGCTGTATGGAAACACAGACGTCACGGCAGTGCTGGAAGGTAGTAAACCTAGAACAAATGCAGTCGCTGGTAAATGTTCACTGGACAAGGCACAATGAAAAGGTTTTGTTGAAGTTATTGCAGTAATACAGTGTGCCGTGCCATCCAGCGCAAAGGGGAAAAGAATTCAAGTGCAATGCGTATCCAGATACCAAAAGAATACCAGGTGGAAATTAACCCCAACTTATTTCCAGAAGTGGGGCAACTTGCAAACACCATTCAACTGATCATATCCACGGGTACGCAACTGGGTACAAATTATATTTTACTTCGCCGCTTTCCCAAATTAGAACATACCCGGTACACTACTGAAGCGGAGCGATATTCGTATATTCTAAAGCTCAAACCACTCCTTTATCAACAAATTACACCGGTGAACCCCCTCACTTCCTCAGCAAGGACCACCCCGACTCATCAGACCCTAAAGAACCAGGAAGATGTGCTCCTAGCTGCCTCGGCCTTCATCAAGAATAGAATCAAAGTTACCATGAAATCAACCGCTCACAGCACTGACAGAATCAGATGGAACGACGATCAACTAACTGTGCACATAGCCGCTGGAAGTGACCCCAAGAAACTATCACAGCGTCTGCACTTCTGGGTAAAAGGTACCCAAATGCCAGCAGGGATTACAAGTGCCCCAGGGCAAATTGACCAAACCACCACCGTTACTGCCCAAGCGCCACTTACGGTGAAAAGACTGCTAAAACAAACTCTGATAGACGAAGATGGGAACCTCACTGCAACGATTCAGTTTGCTGACGAAGCCGCCAACACTGTTGGAGGATGGACAGGGCGAGTTGTTGCAGGGGAATCCTCTCTTACGATTGAACCTGATTCTTCCAGAACGGGTCAGGAATTCAGAATCAAAAGACTTAACTATAGAGCCATCAGCACCTCTATGCGAAATCAATCTCCCAATAAATCGATTCTGCAGGCGCTACTGGGCACGCAGAGTGATAGCGAACCACAGCCAAACAGCCACATTCCTGAATTCCAAGTCAACCTGACAGCAGAATAGGAATCGGTAGTTCGCACGATGTTATCCGGTCAAAAGGTGCTATTTCAACAGGCGCCAGCTGGCACAGGAAAAACCTATGTAATTGGTGTAATTGTCAAGTATTTAATGCAATACGCCAACACACAGGAATATATTATTTTAACTGCTTCAACGAACTTAGTCGTTATTAACATGGCAAATGCTGTACTAAAAACGGCTCATTCGCTCATTTCTGATCTGATATTTTTTCAGTCGCTGACGGCTGAGAAACTGTGCCCACAAAAGACGGACGTCGAATTCAATGAATGGACGGCGTCAAGAGTACCCGAACTTCTGGCTCTAGGACTTTCACTGGGCGATACTGCTGTAGACCAGAAAGATTTTGTGAAGGAATACGTCAAAGTCAGGCTTCCACATGAGGGAAGAGGACTAGACGAAAGCCGAGCCCTGCGTGTGGCAGCAGAGACAACGAAGCCGAGATTGGTATTCGCAAAGCTCGGCATGATCGACAGTTTTATAACCTCCTGTGGGAGGACAACATGCCTTATATGCGATGAAGCAGGCCTGGTACCTAAGACCAGATCATAACGCTGGCCGCCAGTTTCCCGAACCTAAGGCAACTATTCTTAACTGGTGATGCACACCAACTGCCAGCATATTAAGCGAACTATCCAGAAATTATTGTGCCGTATGGGCACAGAAGTATTATTGAATCCACTTTGGATCGTCAACAGATCCCCATACAGTCACTCCGAGTCCTTCCGAGCCCATCCTACGCTAACCCGCTGCCTATCAGCAGCCTCTTACAGTGGCACCTGACAACTGCAATGACTGAAGGGGGTCTGGAATTTTTCCACAACGATGAACGGATCATTGTAGCCCTGTTGCACAATCTCGGCAGAGTCATTTCAAGTGAAGTATCGCTTACGATATTGTGCTTTCACCTTGGAACTAGAGAGTACTCCAAAAAACTCTCATGCTACCGTATAGCTGCACGATACATACTGTGAATTCATTCCAAGGGCGAGAAGCCGACATCATCATGCTCATAACAGCGAGAACGACATTCCCTTTCGATTCCGAACAAGCGGGTCTGGAATTTTTCCACAACGATGAACGGATCATTGTAGCCCTGTCGCGGGCGCGACATGGCATGCTCGTCATTGCGGACTTCCCGCTACTGCTGAAAAACGACTTATGGAGGCGATATTTGCGTGCTGCAGTGCAAACGACCCCAGTCGTACTTTCACATTATGTGGGCGCTATGATTGGGGATGAACGAAGGGACTCCAAAGGAATATTATTATCGAGGGATGGCACATCAATAGTGGCGCCGCTGCAGATCAACCGTTACTGGCTGTAAGCAGGAAGGTTTAATTTCTATTTTCCCTTGTACCATTTCTTTCTTGTTTCTCTCTTACAGTACTTATAAATAAAACTTTTTTCCCTCAAAATGGGAGACGAAAGGCGCGAATGCGTCACTCGCCTAGGCCCATATGCCCCAAGGTTTCTTGGGCTATGACTAGCGTCGGTCATCCCTCCAGTTAAGTTTGCACCTGTTCATGCTATGTATACTACACTGTTACAACCAAATTCCGAAACCTTTGTTGATCTTGTCCTTGACGACCAGGAGGCTCACATAAATGATGATTATACTCTATTAATAGATAGGATTGACGAAAGGATAGCAAACAATACGTACAATTAACACTGGGGATAGTACGAACCAACTCTGGTAAGGTGCGGGTACTTTTTACTGAAGAAATATCAGATCAGGAATGCACGGATGAGGTTCGCTATCACTTTGAGTGCCTAACAGCGTTTGCAGAATCGGTTTGTTGGTAGACTGATTTCGCGCAGAGGTGCTAATGACTCGCTCTATACTAAAGCCTTTTGATTCTGAATTCCTGACCCGTTCGTCACCCACCTTGGCCCATACACCCACCCCAAGGTTTCTTGGGTTATGACCAGGGTCGGTCATCCCGGAGATGTAAAGGCGATTCCTCGCCTTGCTCCCCTACCCCCATCCCAAACCATAAACCTCCAAAAAAATAATATAAAATAAACAAAATGGATATGTCATCCTTCGTTGACACTCCACCGCGATGTCGGGAATCGACGTTCCCAGCGGAGATCGGATCTCCGGCAGGAGTCCGATTCCCTCGTTCCCAAACCTACCTATCCCTCCGCCATTTTCCCACCGCCAAATCCCGGCTTTCTTCCCCATGCATTACATTCTCAATCCCCGTTGTCGGAGATTGTGTCTCACGATAGCATCTGTAGGAAGAACGGTATATAAGCCGGAGAATCCCCTGCTCGAGGTCCACGTTCAACTGTGCCGCCTGACGCGATTCATTTCTCCCGCGATCTACTTCGTATCACCGGTGATCTACTTCGTTCCCCATGTGATCGACTTAATCCTGCAACTGATATCCCGTATGTGTAATAAAACTTCTCTTACTTTGGTCTGGCCCGACACCTTCCATGGGTAATTCGATCTACTGAAATACGCGGTAC